CTGGCGGGTATATAAATGGTCAGACAAAGACTCTGAACTACGTATACAAGAGAACATATCCGAGGCTAAGAGAAACACACTCTTGCATAACACCTGTATAAAGCATTTTGGGTTAGGTTAGGTTAAGTGTGATTTACTTAGATATACACTGAACTGCATTTAAGATCATAATGTCTCTGATTATATACGTAGTGAGTTTCTTATTTCTAACAAGATACCGTACAGTACATTAGCGAGTTTATTTCCAATTTCATACAGATTGACCTGTCTTCTTCAGTAGTATTATTGATATTATTGCAACCATGAACGGACGGAATTCTGTTCATTTTTGTTTATACTTGGTAAGTAGGTAAGTGGGCAGCGAGGACGTGTCGTCACAATAGGAAATACTTCACGATGCCTCAATATCCTGGGCAGCGTGTTGTACTGGTGACAGAGTGACGCTCGCCCTCAGGATGAGTTTAAGGCCTTTGTTGTTCCCGAAAGTAATAGATGAATTTCGTACCACTGTGTGGATATGAGAATTTAAATTATTTCTGAGAGTAGGATGTAGTCTAAGAGATAAGATTAACATAGAAATGTCTAGAAAATCGTCATATAACAATAAGCTATTTAGACATGCAAGACAAAACAGGTGAGTTGTCAACCAAGGAATGTCGGTTTCATGTCCAAAGACATTTAGCTCTGTAGGTTCATTTATATGTTCAGAAAACGACAAAGAAAAATGTAAAATTAAATTAAATTTTTGCTGGTCTTACTATACATCCAAAGTTCCCAGCATGAATTGGTCAAGAAATAAATTGGTTAAGCCTGCAGACTGGTTAATGCCCGGAGAAACTCGTCACGAAAGCAGAATTAATGAACGAAAAATACTGACCATAAACACAGGTGAGAAATGAGCATTAGCGATAAGTGAGAAGATCGAATTTATTGCCACATAAGAACTTGTAAGGGAAGAGTGGCCGATTACAAGCATCATCGTGACTATTTGCCATTTTGTATTGAAAAAAAAAGTGGTAAAACATCATTCATTCTAATACATTTGCTTACTATCTATTTGTGTGATAGACAGTTAATGATGAAGTGTAATGTATGGTGTGGAATGTGTATAATGAAAAGTGAAGTGGATGGTGTAGATAGAAGACTAGCTTAACTTATCCACCTTATTCCACTACCAGTGAGATGCTGGGCAACATGTCATCTTAATCTCCTCCAAAACATTAAAAAAAAAAATCCATCAACTTTAACTCCTAATACTCTATCGGTTTAGGAGGAGGAGGGGAGGATGTGTGCATTTACGTGTGTCATTACGTTTCTCAGCCAAAGGACAATGAGTGAAATAAGTGTAGACAATCTTCCTTATCAGTGGAATGCATCGTAACTATATTCTGATTTATTTCATGTCTTTATCTCGTCAATTAATAACTTTATTTTATACGTTGATTATACAATATAAATAAAAGCCCACAACATACTTATCTGATTGGTCCACTATAGCCAAAACTGCTTCCTTGTTTCACCCTCACTTGCTAATGGTCTTTGCGATAACTGCGGCAATATCGTGATGGTAAATATTGCTGGCGGACATTGCGCGTTGCGTCGCTATTGTCGCACTTGCCAGCCTTATTATCTCTAATGGCCCGGTATCCTCTGGTTATTGGTGTTATTACTAAGCAATCAAGTGTTTTATGTAGTTTGTGATTGTGGTTATCTTTTGTTATTTTTTTATTTGTCAGGGAGTATATCGATCAGTCATTCAGTCAGTCAGTCAGTCCAACGGTTAGTCTTTAATGACAGTCACACTGAATCATTGATGGTCTCTTGATTTTGTTCCTGTGGTTTATTTTGTTTAATTAGTTTTTTTATGATTACTTGACGTTATTTAGAGTTAAAGAGAGTGGGTGAGTGACAGAGAAGTTAAAGAGAGTGATTGACTGAGTGAGTGAGTGAATGATTGAGTGACAGTGAGTTAGAAAGAATAAGTGAGTGACTGGGTTAGTGAAAGTGAGAGACCCAGAGTAAATGAGGTAGTGAATCAATGAGTGAATGAATGGGTAAGTGCAATGAATGAATGAGTGAAATGATGAGTTAAAGATTGAATCCTTATCGTGTACACAAATAAATTGTTCATTACGCATATATGAGCATCTGTACGCACTACTCTATATACTATTGTACTGACTTTATAAAATCAGACATATTGTACAGTCGGGGAAAAAAGTTATGGAATGAACACTGGCTCGTGTCATCTCGGAGTGGTTGGTATGCCTGGTTGTGAAGTGACTTTCAATATTTCCTAATAATATTTGTTACTCGTCTTTATAATATTTACAGACGAAATAAAGTCATTTAATTTGGAATAAAATTTACTCAGAAAGCATTGCTCAGATTTCTTATTCGTTTTGTCATATTGTAACCTATGACGCTTAGAGCACTGTTTTCTCGTAGTGCAATTATCTAGCGCCACATGTAAAGTGACAGATATACAGTTATGTAGTGACAGATGTGCAGCTGTGTAATGTAAGATATTCACTGTTGAAAGCACAATGTGTGAAGTACAGTGCCAAAAGTATAAACAGTGTCAGTAGTCTGTTGAATGATGAGAGCACAGACCTAAAATACAGTGCCAACTGAATCACGAGTTATAAGACCATCAGTACAGTGCCACTAAACACACAATGGTTAAAAACTATATCTCCAAACAAAACACCAACCTCATCTTTGTCTCATGGATGAAGCAAGTCTATAAGGCGGAAAAAATTAAAATGCAACTATATGAGAATCCAAATATAGGGCTTCATTTTGGCCTCTCCGTTACGGCGAGGTAGTCGAGGCGGAGGGAAGGAAGGAGGAGGCAGCACAATGCCCTCCATTAATTCTCCATTAATTAATTCCAAAAGCCATTATGGCAGAGATTGTTGTTGTCAAAGTTGGAGCCTGAAGATTCTCTGGCCTGATGACTTCATAATGGTGTTTCTCAGGAGGTTCTTGTTGGTGTTGCATTGCATGATCTTGAGATGTCTTGTTCATATCTAGCGGGATCTTGGTCACGTTTAGCGGGGATCTTTGTCATGTTTTGCGGGATCCTGGTCACGTTTAGCAGGATCTTGGTCATATTTAGCGGGATCTTGATCACGTTTAGTGGGATCTTGGTTATGTTTAGCGGAATCTTGGTCGTGATTAGCGGGATCTTGGTCATGTTTAGCGGGATCTTGGTCATGTTTAGCGAAATCTTGGTCATGTTTAGCGGGATCTTGGTCATGTTTAGCGGGATCTTGGTCGTGATTAGCGGGATCTTGGTCATGTTTAGCGAAATCTTGGTCATGTTTAGCGGGATTTTGGTCATATTTAGCAGGATCTTAAGATGTCTAGCAAAGATTTAGTGATATCAAGAAGGTTATTGCTTGTATCAATTAGGAAGTTCGTCATGTCTTATATCAGGTTTTTCACACAAACTAATATGAATCAATATAACCTTTTTTTTTAGCAATTGTCCTACTCTTCCTCCTACCCGTCGTCTCCCCTCTTCCACCCTGCGCGCTACTCTCAGCCATTCATACTTACCATTACCTCGTAAACCACCCTGAATGGCCCTGAATACCATCTCCTTAATGTTATAACGACACAAGCCACTCCTGGACCCTAGTTATATCAGGGGAATCATTGAATATCGGAAATAAGCTGTAATGTGTATTTCAACAGATAATATTTTAAAGATAATTTATTATTTTATTTTGTGGGTGTAACCGTTTATTTCTAAGTATCGAAATTTTGAAATGGATCATCTCTTCGATTCTTTCAAAACAATGCCTATCGAATTTAATTGTAGCAATTTTAATGAAATGTGTCAAGAGAAATTACAACAAATTGTATTTGGTTATTTCGCTGTTATTTGAATGCCATGCGAGAGCTTGCTATGAGTTTGTATGTAGGGTGATGGGCCGTGTTGACAGTGCTCAGGTGTTAAAGAGAATCTCTCTCTCTCTCTCTCTCTCTCTCTCTCTCTCTCTCTCTCTCTCTCTCTCTCTCTCTCTCTCTCTTCTTCTTCTTCTTCTTCTTCTTCTTCTTCTTCTTCTTCTATTACCTTGTATTCCGCACCTTCTTCTACTTCGTCAGCTTTTTACTTTCCCTCTCCTTCTTCAACTCCTTTTCTCTCCCTATAGCTCTCTATTTTTCTATCTCTCATTCTTCTCTTCTCTCCCCCCCTCCCACCCGCTCTGAGACTCCTGACCAAGGCCACTTCTGGTGATGGCCAACACATACTCATTGGCTCCCTTAAGCTATGACATAATTACGGTGGCAAGAGAGTCATTAAAATTTTATTAAAAACCTGCCTTAATTAGTTCTCTTATCCCTAATTATGAGAAAAATAATTGCTAACGAACTTTTAGACAAGACAGAGAGATGTAAGCCCAATAACTGAACATCTTGCCGTCTGGTCGAAAGAATGTTAAAGTGACCCCACCACCTCGCCTCATTACCCAGACTCAGGACAATTAAGTCATATTTAATTGTGTTCTTCAGTGACAGAACAATTAAGTCATTTTAAACTTGTTCTCGTAGCCTCTTGTTTTATCTCGTCTTTGTACTTATTAATGCATAGTTGGTGTTTATTTTTAGGTTCGGTCTTTTATTTGACTTTTATTAATAGAAATATACAACTGTAGAACTTTGTCTGTTTGGTGTCTCGAAACTTTTGTTGATTGTATTAAATGGTCATTCAAAAGTTCCCCCCATAATATATATACATAGACATTTAACTGTTAAATAATTAGTCCTATTTAATATAATTGCTTTTACAACTATAGGATAAATTTTAAATCACAATGTTATTATATCTAAAAGTATGATTAGACAAGTTTGAGTCGTTCATAACAATGCTTCTAATATTTTTTTACAAGACTGCCTAGGAATGGCGAAAGTGAAAACATGCTTCATTGTAATCCATTCCTTCGTTAGAAATGTTGCCTTTAAATCTCTGGTGATAATGAAATAATAATAAAAAAATAGCATCAATTTATTAAGCTCTTTTTATTAACAGTATTAATTTCAAACAAAATCTTTAACAGCAAGATGAAAAAAATGTTTATCAAAGCTTCCTCCGTCACCCCCAGTAGATGGCAGCACCCAGACCCTAACTCAGAACTTCACACATTTATGTAGAAAGTCTATATCTATCATCCATGTCCTGACAGTGAAATTCGTCCTAAGGGCCTGACATCCCCTTATCGGTAGTGCGATTACAGTAGGGAGGCAATGTACCGACACTGTAGTTGGGTTGACCGACAGAGGTAAGATATGTAAGTTGCAAGAACATTTTGAATTCTAATAGAAGACTACAAATTATTTTGATCAACACAACAGGCCACGGAGAAGTGCATACTGTACTAGATATGGGGTACATTACAAAAATCTACCGAACATTAATGATCATGTAAATTATGTTATGATGAACCTGAATAACGGTTAATCCAGAATTGATGAAGCTTTGGGACACTATAAGGATATATATAATATTTGTAGATACAGTACTCTCTCTCACTCTCCTCCTGGTAAACCTCAATAGCCTGTTAGATGCTGAGCCTAATGATATGGTACAGGTGTTCACTATAGAGACAACAGTGAGTCCGTTTATCCCAGGCTCAACTTTGCTAAGATCGCCTTCGTTTAATTTTCCTCTTTCAACCGGGCTTGAACTAACATGAGGTACAAAATATTGATTCTATGGCAGAATTATGGAAACATAAGAATAAACTATGCCATCACACTGACGTTTCGGGGCCAGTACTCTTCCGCATCAAACTCAGAAAGTTGTCTCCTCCATGTATGCTCCGACGTTGCTCTCTCACAGCCGGGGTACGGTAGGCCTCTAACACTTCAAATGAACTGAATCTTCGGGAGGGGTTGTTTTGATGCGAACTTTTTGCCAGTAGGGACCTTGTGTCAATTAAGAAGGGGCCTTGAATAGCTTGGTCTTCTATGAAGATGGGTCTAGAATTCATCGGGATTACTTGTGCCATTCGTGAAGAAGTGGGGATGTCCCATACTTCCAGTGCCTGAGGCTCTGACTCAAACAAATCAAGGAATTCATGACAGTTTCCGTTACCTGAAAAGTCTGTTATGTTGTGTTCGACATCAGTGCGACACTTTGGTGCTTGTAAGGCAGTTGGTGTGTTTGGAGATTTAAACTCTTTATTTGTGGTCACCATGCAGTCATCAGGGTACTCGGGAACAGCGAAAAGTTGAGAGTCAATAACCTCTAAAGAAGGTAGCAAGTCAGGGTCAGGCGTAAAGTAACAAAAGCTCTCACGAAACTTCCGCTGACTGGGGGTTGCTTGTGATCGCCTGATTGTATCGGACTCATCGTCCTTCAAAGTTGTCAGAGGAGTTGGAGACGCTGTCCTGAAGTAAGGCACGTCTGGAGATTTGTGTCTGGTACCTGTGAAATGACCTTCATCGTCAACTACATTCTCTCCTACGGGATTTTCTGTTTTTTTGGTGTGTAAAGGTCTCTCTTGAAAATTGCTACTCAAAGCAGCATATGTACCAGTATGAACGTCCGTGCTCTCCATCCCCGAAGATGAAGGGGCGTCTCTACATACATCTGATGCACCAGCTAAGGATGCATAATCGTTCAACTGTGACCATGAGCTGAACATTTGGTCTTCCTCTGGGAAGGTGGAAGTTGATCTTGAATCCACGTAACAATCAACATTACTCTCTTTAGGGGCTTCGACAGTGATGGTGGGCACAGTTAAGACGGGAACGTATTGTTGAATTTCTGTTTGGCCACAAGAACAAGAGAAATGTGAATCATCGTTACAAAATATTTCTGGCCCTATGGACAAAGAAAGATAATTTTTTCTCTCCGCCTCCTCCGAATTTTGCACTGGGCAACATGTAGTCGTCCTGCTGTACTTTCCTTGGTTTATAGCACTGTCGAGATTAAGGAACCCTTCCTGGAAATCACTCAAGACGGATGAACTTCGTTTGGGTTTCTCAGAAGAAGGACGATTAAAGAAAGGGACAGACATGCTCCTTCGTCGTCGGAGCTTGATGCTGTTCTTCAAGACAGACTTTGTGCTGTTCTTTCGACTTTCTAAACCAAAAACCGAAATCCGGTTTTCCGTTTCATCCCCAGGAACAGAGGAACACATGCACCACAGAGACTTAACACCCTTAGCGATGAAGACAATGTGCAAGAATGAGGTTGAGAGAATTAAGACAAGAGTAGTAGACACAACAGTCCAAGGAAGGATAACAGTGTCATCATGGCTGTTGGCGCAAAGCTTGACAGACGGCTGATCACGAGAGTCCTTCACAGCAGGAGAGGCAGTAGACTCATCCCCTGAATTCTTCACAGCAGGGGAGACGTGAGACTCATCCCCTGAGTTCTCCATAGCAGGGGAGGCGGGAGACTCATCCCCTGAGTTTTCCACAGTAGGAGAAGCAGTAGGAGAGTCAGTAGTTGGGAGTTCCTGAGAGCGACTTGCAAAGACCACTACTATGAATATAAACCACACAAACACACGGTTAATCTTCATGCTTAAGGCCCGTCGAATAACTAATAACTTGAACTTTACATAAATGTTACTTGCTTCTCCCTCGAGTTCAGTATGTATTGTCCACGATCATCACGTGTTTTAATTTATGTGTTACCTCTTGGTGAACGTTACTCGGAGGCCATCAATCTCAAGTCCATATTCCCGTACGTGAACAACCATTAACTTGATAACTCCAATATATTATCCATTACTTATAGAGCATCTTTCCATGTATACATTTATAGTCGGAGAGGTTTTGTATCACACCTGGTCAACGCGGGAACACTAAGGTATCTCCACTGTGTCTTCCTCTCTACTCTGTTGGCTCGTTTCTTCATACACGTCTCAGGTTTGTGGTGAGAGTTGTCTGAAATATGAAAATGTTGGTATTAGTCATGTTTTCATTAATGTAAAAATGGCGTCACTAATCTATAAAATATTGTAATGTCTTGATACGAGAGATCACCCACATGTACTGGGAATTAATAGGCTATTTGAACAATGCTAGTTTAGATATGAGGAACAATGCCTCTTGACAAACTAAGACATTACTCTATTAAACACTACTGTAAAATTCATACTAAGGAACTGTATATAATAATTTTGTGAGTAAATGTATCAACAACTTATTTGATGATACCTTAGAATAACACATGTCTTTATAAAATATTTCAACACTCTCTTATGAACTCTAACAAAGAAAAGGTATTAACACAATAACAATAAAGTTAAAAAACGAACAAGAAAATAACTAATAATAATAATGTATAGCTCCTCACCTCCCTCCTGCCAGCCGACACACCGCCAGGCTGTAAACTAACCAAGTCTTCCCGGATCTTCTCTCTCACGGGAAGTCTTCTTGTCGTATTATGATCTTCTACGTAAACGTTTATCAGATGACAGGTTTCCGGAATCGTGAGTGTATATCCTGGGTACATTCTTGAGTAAGTTCGTCGAGAGCTTTTCAACTACAGTATTTTGAAGACAATTAACTTTACTAGTTTCATGTACTGTACTAAATAACCCCCCAATACTTCCCTGTGGCCACAACGAAAGACTCCCATTACTACTTCAGCTGTAAACTCACCTACCAGCCTTGCCTACTGATTTACTTGTCTGCCTCTTAAGTCCTAGTAGTATAAATTTGGTGGTACAGCTGTAATGTTCGTATCTCTCACTAACAAGTCAAGGGTTCAAGTCCTGCTTTGCCCTGACACACATGAGAAGGATCTTAGCAGGTTTTTAGGAGGATGGAGGACTCAATATTATTTTTATCCTCCTCAGAGCCATAGATAGAGTTCGGCCAACCCGGCTCTATATTGTTACGGAACAGATGAAGAAGTTTGCGCTCGTCCTGTAGAGGATGATGATGATGATGATGATGTTTATTAAGTAAAATTGTCATACAGTTACACTTGGATAAGCATATTTATAAACTATGTGGGAGAGAGCACGAGAAGACTTCTCACCCGCTGAGTAACAACATGGAGCCCGGTAGGCTCAACTCTATCTATGGCTCTGATCTTCCTGCGACAGTGGCACTCAGTCGAGTGCCCTTACCTGTAGCTGGTTGACGCTCTTGGACAATCTGCCAGAGAGTGTTGTGACGGCACCGAGTGTGAGCTCTTTCAAGACCAGACTTGACCAACACTGGGGCAAGTTCAGATACATTCAGGAGCCGGTGCATGCCCAGTACTTGCCAACAGTATGCAACAGAGGCGTGACCGATCGTCCAAGCGGCTAACGAGCCGTTCAGTGGTAAAGAGGATCAAAGTAAAAAGTACTTGATATTGTGCGATATCACCAGATTATTAAAAAAAAAAACAATTTACATATATTCAGTAGGTTATTGATATAAAACTTTAAATATTTAGTGATAATATCTCAAAGCAACACATTGATTATTTTGCAGTAAAAGATAATTATTTGCCGACGGCTCTGAAGTGAACGAGTGTGCGCATTGGAGCGGGCTATTTATACCTTAACTGTATTATATATGACGTACTTTTTATATTTATCGTTAATCAAAACCAAATATGTGTTCCCCCCTCTCTCCTTCCATTTGAATCTGGATTGAAACTCGTCTTCGCTACTTGAGTGCTGTCAACCAAAAATACTCTGTCTTAAAATGTTTTAGTGGACAATGCCTCAGTTCTGGGGTAAAATACATATATTTAAGACATATATTTATTTTCTTCTTCTTGAGGCATCCTTTGTTTTCGGTACCTGGATCCATCGAAATCATTAATAATATTTTCCTCACCGAAGCCAATATATGAATCCGGATTTCTTGTAGATGCTGCACGAACACTTACGCCTAGTCAGTGTTACCAACATAAAATAAAATGCTTTATATATATTTCATCGGGATTAAATATAAACAATGTAATATACAAAAATACATGTTGCACTATCTCAAAACAACTTATAATTTAACTGTAAAAATAATTGCACAATTAACAATAGATAAATTTGCTGCTATAATTTATTAAATCAAGTTAGAATCAATACAATTTTGCATAAGTAATGCTCATAATAAGAATATCCACAAGGGATGATATCAAAGGCTTTGACATAAAATAAACCATTATTAAATAAAAAATTATCCTCACAAATACCAGCCAAAATACTTGCCTGTTGATATATAAACAATAATAAAAGTTTCCCTTCAAGTTATCTGGCAATACTGTTGACGTTCCCTTGTTGGGGATGGAACTCGGTTGAGGAATTTCCGGAGATGACTTTTCTTGCAATTCGTCCATGGCCTTTGAGATAATAATTAATATGGAAAAGAACAAATCACCAATAATCGTAAGTACACGCTAACAATATAAACCATGTGAAACATACTATTAATTGTATATTCAGGATTTTATATGGCCATTTCCGTTCAATATGGCGGACGAGAGGCTTCCTGTTTATATTTTGATCCTCCCCCCCAGGTCCCCGGGCCATGGCCCTGGCCCCCACCGGGCCTCAGCTGTCTTTTAGGCCTCCTTTACTTAGCCATAGTCAATATACACAGAAGGTTTATGAACTACATGAGTAAATGAATGGTGACAGGAAGAAGTAAATCATTCCCAATGAATTATAATGAGCACATCTTGCTGATCCGACACTATGTACTGTACTAGCTATGGGTACTGTACTAGCTATGATTCACATGAATATTACGTTGTACTGTACTGTGCCAACAATGGTCTACAGTACAGTAATTGTAACATTAGCAGCAATGCTGTACAGTACAGTATTTGTAACTACAAGTACTGTGCTATCAGTGATGTGCAATACAGTTATTATAACTACCAGCAGTGATGTACAAAGTACATTGTTGCACGGGATGAGGCTTTGTATTGCCTCCCTTACTTAAAAATTGAGGTAATTATTTTTCCTCTGCGTTATTATTTCTATAAATTTATTTTTCTCTTTCATTTATACACTACTCTGAGTAATAATAGTTTTGCTATTAATCCTTCCTTTTTTCAGATACTGTCAACTTAGTTATTTATGTTTTATTCTCACTTCACTACATTCACTGCAATATATATATACAGTATATTATATATACATTACAGGGTATATGCAAAATACCTGCCTAACCTGACGTAACATTGAAAATGCCAACTGTAAAGTCATTATTTAGAAAAAAATGTACATTTCGTCCATTGGCTGTACTCAAGTTTTGGTATGAGAATCGTTTTTTTAGGTGTTTATTTGTGTGTGTTTTTATCAAATCTGATCTTCATTTCTTGTGAAAATTTAAGGTTTTTGCAAGAAATGAAAGTTTTCACCTTTTACACATACTGTACTGCTAATTTGCACAAAAATGGAGGTCAGATTTGAGTAAAACACCAAAAAACACCCAAAACACCTATTCTCACACCAAAGGAACCAGCCTAACCTAACCTACAAGGAGGAGAAGGAAAGGAGGAGACAATTGACTCTTAAATGTGGGGTATAGCCTCAGGTAAACATGGTGGGAACCTACGGACAGCTAATGGACGAACATTAACTGAAAAACAGTTTGAAATGATCTTAACTAAGAATTGTTCAGTCTTCCCATTACTGTTTTCTTGATTTCTAGCTATTATCAACCCAAATCGAACTTTCTGTCTTCAAGCATTAGTAAATTTTAAGGACAGTTGTCTGGGTTATCCAGTTACCTAAGTAAAACATTTTTTTAGAGGAAATTTCTTTCTTACTTCAAGACTAAAGGAAATCAGTTGGAGGAATAACACTTTTCTTATTCAGCTCACAGATTTCTCTACTTCTGTTTTCAGAATTGGTAGTTTGATCTTTATTTCATTTCCATTTTTACCTCTCTTCATAGCATTGTAGAGTTCTTTAATCTTCTATGTACTCTGCCCATCTCTATTTTACTTCTTTTGCCTCAAATAGGATCTTATTGTCTTTGCTTTAAATAGTCCCACCCCATTTATTTCCTTTTCCTGGTTTATTTGTTTAATCTCTGTACATTTCCCTAGTTATGTCTCCTGTCATTATCATCTATCTCCTTGCATTTCCTATTTAGAAAATGTTCTTTGGCCAGTCTAAAGTCTTTTTTAATACCCCGTATCTTTCTTTGTAGGTCTCACTTTGTCTTATCATTTTTTTTCGTTTTTCCACTTTCTTTAAAATTTCTTTTGTGATCCACTTTTGCCCTTGTTCATCCTGAGCCCTATAAGTTTTCCCCCCCTCTATAATATTATTTCTTTGAAAATATTGCACTTTCGTTCTGTATTTTGTTCATCAAAGCCTTTGTTTAGCAACAATGAAATTCTGTTTTGGGTTTAAATTTCATATTCTACTTCGGCTCCTGCTTTGAGCTTCCCTAAATCTCATTTTATTTTGTCCATTGTTTTTCTTTTTAAGTTTTGAAGTTTTAGCCTCACTAAACTCATTACTTTTGTTTACAGCTTCTAGACAAAAATGGCCTTGAGACAGTAGCAAAAGTACTGTCCTTTGGGTGTTGGACTCTCAGCGATTCAGAAAATATTGAAATTCCTGTAGCAGGATCTATAGGAACATCATGTAGTGTCCGTGGAAATGCTCCCCAGTTGACTCTAGCTCAAGGAAATGTCCGACCTGTTACTCAAGTTTCAGGTAAATATGAAATAAGTAAGAAGATGCTGTGTAAAGGTTGATACAGTATTGTACTGTATATTGATTTATTAATAAGTGTATACTGTACACAATTTTTTTTTTATTGTACAGTTACAAACAAAAGTCATGTTACCTCTTCTGCTGCGCCACAAAACCTAAGATTCAGACACATGAATCTGAAGCATATGTGGACAGAATAATGCATCTGTGTCTTCAGCTTCGGGTTCGCGAGTCTGAATCTAAGGGTTGATGAAGCAGCAGGAGAGGTGACAGGACTTTTGTTCATGAATATACTGTACATTAATCTGCTAAAATGTGGATCACTTGTAGAATAGGTATACTGTTAGCCAATTAGTTTACTACTGTCTTCCTATTTTGTATAGGTTGTTAATTATCTCAAAATTACTTTAAAGTTTTCCTCTTAGAATAGTAATGTAGTTGTTTATGGTTGTTAATCAAAGCAGCAATATAAAGAAATGGAAGACATCTGAGCATTGTTTTAATACATATTGCCTTATTGAGCTTCATGCTGCAGTTACCATTCTTAAGAAAATGCTATGTTAAGTGAATTGAACTGAATATTGGACTGAATATTGCTCCCAATTTTTCTAGGAACTGGGGGAACTGCTAACAACCCACCTCCAGTTGCTCTTGATAGGTCTTCAGCATTCCAGCGTGACAATTCCCACATGACAACACTGACAGAACTTGGTAAAAAGTTGGTGGCGGCAGCTAAAGTGGGTAATACAAGTCAGGTTAGAAGGTTGATGGCTATTGGAGCACCGTTTGCATCAGATGGGGTAAGATTTATATTTTTTTTAATTTTTTATATTTGTTTATCACAATATCATCCCACTGTAGAAGAAAAATTGTTCAGTAAAATTGTCATACAGGTTTACAATTGGTTAGGCATGTGTATAAAATATGCAGGTACACAGTTCAGCATGAATATAGACAATGTAGGTGTAATTATGGTATATGTAGACTGGGAGGCATACAGCTTTCTGTGTGTCTAGACAGTGCAGGTATACAACAATGGTAAACAGTAAGGCAATCTAACCAAGAGCACTGTATACAGTATTTTGTCTAACCTACAGTCCTCTTCACCTGAAGAGGACTGTAGGTTATGGCCAAAATATATAGTGCTTTCATTTTTTTGTTTTATGTTCTCGTACAGTGGGATTTCAGTGTTATGATTTATGTGGTGTTACATAATTTTTATAGTTGTACAGTTACTGTACTGTATGTTGATAAATAATTTTTTATACTAATACAGTGTAGTACATGTAGTGAGCTGTTGACTAATTGTACATATACAGTACAGTATTGTGCTAGAGAGATATGTGCAGTAGTACAGTATTAATACAGTATATCTCCCTTAGCCGGAACAATTGGTGCAGAGCACTTCCGGGAATAAGAGATTTCCGGGTAACGAGGCGACTCTCTCAAAGCCGGAAAAAAATCCCTCTTCCACAGAATTTTCCAGGATATGGAAAAATGTTCTCGGGGGTTTCAGAAATTGCGCATTACATTATTTCTCGAGCCCGGAAAAATATCCCCCATCCCTGGAATTTTCTGGGTATCAGAACATTTTTCTCGTAATTTCCCGAAAATGCATTTGATTTGCCTCTCTGAACCCCTGAAAAAAATCCCCTATCCTCGGAATTTTCTGGAATTTGCCGGGTACTGGGAAAATTTTCTCAGAATTTTCAAGAAAATGTGCCCCTCGAAATTTTTTCCTTAAGTCGTAATTTTTTTAAAATCCCGACTTTGGGAACAATTTTCCTAAAAAATTTCAATTCCAGCTATTGGAGAGTTCCGGTTAAAAGGGGTTCTAGCTAATAGAAAAATTGCTGTATTTCAAATACTGTACCAAACTACTGTACATGTTATATAGGAATAATGAATAACCAGGATGTAAATACCTATCTTATTAAGACATGTTCACCTATGAGAATTCAGGGGATGTAGAATTTTTTTATAAAAGACATAATGAAGAACATAATGGATTTTTTTGTCATAAGTAGACTCTTGACATGATTATTTACCCCCTCCCAAAAAAAGGGGATCCTTTATCTTTATTCTTCTGTGTTGTTTTAATGAACCATTTAGTGCATTTTATAAGGACTACAGTAGTGGTTAATTTGCAACTCTTCTGTATATTCTCTCTTGGTGTAATATTAATATGGTTTAAAAGTCAGTTTTACGCTGTAAATATTGTAGATTCTGGTTCTTGGACGTTTTTCATTGGACAGTATGTCACCGGTTCAGTATAAACCTAACTTAACCTAACTTAACCATGGATTCATTGCCTCCAAAGTAAAGACATTATTATCTAAATTTAATAAATATAACATGATATTCACTAGACCAGTGTGTTTTGTCCAGTGATGAAATGTCTGCCCACTGTATATAACTACAGTTTGTTTTCTGAATCTAATTTAAAGCTGTTATTTTTAACGGGCAAGATAATACCCCTGTCGAAGATTTACTCAGATACTGTGTCTGCAACTTTAAATTACTAGTATGTGATATAAAATGGAGATAGATGAGTACAGTACAGGGTAGTACTGTAGAATTCCTGCTCATGTATATTATTAAAAAAAAAATCAGTTTTGGTATTACTGTACTTTCACAGCCCATTGGAATGACTCCGCTTCACTTGGCTGCACAAAATGGTCATTATGAAACCTGTGATCGTTTGCTATGCGCTGGTATGAACATTAATGCACGGAACAAGGTACAGTATGTGTGACTCAGGCAGCCTTTGTAAATTAGTGAGACTCATAGGAGGCTCTTAAATCCTTGGATTGTCTTTGTAGTGTGTGTCAGGGTTGATGTGTTACTGAACTGTAGTTATATAACCCTTCCTTCCTCCATTCTACAAATACAGTCTATTCACTCAAACTTTGCAAATGAGGCTTAGAGCTGTTTGTAACAAGACATCTGATTGGTAGAGAGAAAGAAATGCAAAGGGTCACTCAAATGATGTTTAGTATTTCATTTGTCTGCCCTACAGTATATGCTGCAATTTTAAATAATACAGTAATAACTATTCACTGCTGATCTCTGATAATTTTCTCACTTGGAATAAGTAAAAATTAGCATTAGAAATAAACTGGTAACATAGGTATCATAAAGAGAACAAGAAAAATGTTGCAATATTTCTGTAACAATCTCACCCTTCTCGGCCACCGCTGACGTCACGAGGCATGGGGGAGTTTGAAGTCTATATGGGCACCAGTCATTATTCATTCACGACCTTGAAGCTTCATGCCTCACACAGTTATGGTTCACCGTGAAACCTTTTTAATTCTGTCAAATAATTTGAAAGTTTAATTGTATTCATTAGATTTTAGTTATTTTTTGCTAGAAGAGTTATGTAAATTTTTTGGTACAGTACAGTACTACCGTTCCTACACTACTATGGTAAAATAAAGTATAGTACTTTACCATATATAAACTGTACTGTATTTAGGCTGAGGTAATAAAAATGCACTGTATCTATTCTTTCTTATATAATTTTATTATTTTCATCCAGTTCTATTACCTTAGACATATATTATATATAGTGCCACACCAGAGCTTATACTATATTAGGTATGCATACTTCATTTCCCTTCAGCTAATTCTTTATAAATCTTTTACAGGTGGACAAGACTCCCTTACACTTGGCTGCTATGGAGGGTCACTATGATATTGCATCTTTACTAGTCAAAACTGGAGCCAATGTAAATGCCTGTGATATGGTAAGAATTTATTGACTAAGTGATATTCATTTCAGTTTAAGAAATATTAAGAATTCATGAGGGAATGGATGGGACCAATTCAGTCAAGAGGCGCATGAGCCTGAATGTCGAGAGGAGGAGAGTCAGGCATAAGTAGATCAAGAATGACATGGGGAGAGGTTGTAAAAAATTACAGTAGATTTAGGAACCTGACAAGAGAGAGTGCAAGAGACCATGTAGCATGGAGAGCTGCTGGCAAACCCATGCAAGTGTGGAAAATGGCCATAAAACGATGATGGTGATGAGAAAGGGGAAGATTGGTGATGCTGGATTTTTTTTTTTATTTACTAGTTTCTAGGGAAATCAATTAGAAAGTAGTAATATCTCCATTAGCTGGAATCCATCTTAGCAGGAACTCTCTGATGGCCATAATTGAAATATTCTCGGAAAATTGTTCCCAAAGCCGGAATTTTCGGAAAATTCCAGGTTTGGGAATGATTTTTAGAGGGGCACATTTTCTGGAAAATTTCGAGAAAAGTTTCCCTGTACCTGGAAAATTCTGGGGATGAGGGAATTTTTCTGAATTTTGAGAGATGAAAATCAGGCACATTTTCCATAATTTCTGAGAAAATGTTTCTGGTACTCGGTACCCAGAAAAATTCAGGGGATGGGGGATTTCTTTCCAGGTTCCGGGGATGAGGGATTTTTTCCGGCTTTGAGAAAGTCATCGCGTTACCCAGAAATCTCTCATCCCGAAAGTGCTCTGCACCAGTAGTTCTGGCTAATGGAGATATCACTACAGTTGACCCTAAAATGGTACACTGAGTAAAAACTATCGATACCCGGAATCCGCGGATGGGAAATCCGCGGTTGCCGAGGGTCTACTGTAGTACACATAAAAGTTGACTTGAGGGTAAATGACCAGTTATTTTGGCCAAGACTCAGCTCAAGAGTGGAAAGTCTCGAGACACGTCACAAATCGAGTCTGAGTCATAGACTCGAGTTCCCATCACTACTTTTTATAGTATATTGGGGAACAGTTGCTTGCTAAAATCCCTTCTGGGACTTGATTATGAGAGGGTAAGTCCTAGTGGCTTTTGATAACTCAGAGTTAAACTTGGGTTTACAACCTAGGTCTCATAACTGTAGTAACAAGTGTATGGCATTGGCCATAAAAGAGGATATCAGGATGAATCACTCATGGGTTCTGGGACATTTTGTCACCAGACAATTTGTCTCCTGTTCAGTATAAGCCTAACCTATCCTAACCAAGCCTTCATCACCTCCAAATTAAAGACAATTTTATATAAATTTAATAAATATAATGCAGTATTTAATGGACTGATGACGAAATGAACGCCTACCTTTATTTACGATACCAGTGCAGTAGATTGTGTTTGACACATAAATTAATGAAGGTATCAAATATATATTTTGAGTTGAAGAATAGCAGAATTATGGTACTGTTATCTCTCAATGACTAGATTTGGGAGCAAGTCAGGGATAAACATTGAAGTATGGAGGAGTTGTCATCCCTGTGTAGAATTAGATGGGTTATGTAATATTTTAACAAGAAGTGTGGAATAATGTAGTAATTATTTGTTTTTATTCTGGCAGTTAAAAATGACACCTTTACATTGGGCCTGTGATAGAGGACATACCCAAATTGTACGATTGCTACTAAAGAGTTATGGCCAGACTGATGTTACCAACAAGTAAGTGAAATGTGAATTATGAAGTCCAGATTATGCATGATGCTTTTATAGCCACTTAATTAAGACAAGTAATTTTTCACCCAGCTGTATTTATTTAGATTAAATGAATTGTAGTTCATACTGGCTGCATTTAAAATTTGTTTTGTTAATTGTTTGGGGAGGGTGTGAATTGTGTTTTTGTACATTAGCCTAACATTTGAACCATCTCAGTCATGATTCATGAGTAGGGTTCATTTGGACAAGTGGTTGTATGGTCGCAAAGGAAACACAGGCAGTGAACTAAAGAGATTTTTTCTGAATATCTCTGCATTTTGTACAGAACAATTGGTACAAAACCTTGGAGTGACATCCTAGTAAAGAGCAGCAAATAATAGGTTAAAATTACAGTAGAGTATTGTATTACAGGGTATTTATTTCTTGTTATGGGGGTGACAGGAAAAGGGGGTTTAATTGACCCTGTAACTCTGGTTGTAACTGAGGAGCAGGTTCAAGTCTTGAGGCAGGTCAGGTGTGCAGACCAGAATTTTCTTCCTAGAGGCCCCACTTGATGAGCTGATTCTGTAGTAGAGCAAATATGTTCAACCTAAATCAGTTGTGGTTGACTAGATATGTTAGCAAAGATTTGTTTTTACTTTTCTCTTTTGACTGTCTTTCATTTTTTATCCTAACACATCTGATTTTTACAGTGCATTACCACCCTGAGTATTAAACATATCCTTTCTGATTTTAAGATAACTTTTCACGTGTTAAATATCATAAATATACAGGTCATCTGACATCTCTTGATGGACATCAGATTAGTCTATGCCTCCTCATAGCTCCAACTGTATAGTATTGGCATTTGTAATGATTTACTTTAGTCAAAGGGATTGGGGGCAGAGCATTGATAGATGTACTCTCCTATAAAGTATAAGAGGGCCTCTGTATTACTGTACCTCAGTGGTATGGGGAGCGGCTTCAAGGATGTGGAGACTGAAAATGAAAGCCTCCCAAGTTGGCACAATTAAGCCAACTTGTTATTAAATTGGAAATGGAGTAAGGTTGATTGATATAAAGACCAAAACAGTTTTAAAGAATAATAAAAAATTAAGTGTTGACCCCATATAAACTTTTTACCTCGTCAGTATTCAATGCTCATTATAATATCTGGGCTTATAATGTAGAATAAAAACAATTAGATAATTTATGAATTTTGGTATTGATTACCTTAATCAATGAGACTAAAAATGTCTAAGTGGCATTATTTTTTCAGATTTTCAAAAACACCTCTCCATTTGGCTGTAGAAAATGGATATGAAAATATTGTTCTACTGCTGCAGGTAAGTTGAACATATTTAACAAAATGCAGTACAGTCAGAGGATGTATCTGTAACATCCTTATAAAGTGCTGGTCTGTGTTATTTATAGAAAGCTCTGATATCCCACTACAGTAGCTGTATAACTATGACAGCACTCTGATATCCCACTAGTTTTTTTATTACTTTGGAAGCTGCAGAGCTGCACTCCCTCCTGAACTGAACTGTCAGACGCACAGTTATCATATGATACAGTGAAATCTCCATGAGCCGGAACAATTGATGGAGAGCACTTCCGGCCCATATTTTTCCGGGAATTTTCCCGGTAATGGAAAAAATGTTCTCGGAAGTTCCAGAATGATACATTACTGTATTTCATCTCTCAAAGCTGGAAAAAATCCCTCATTCCTGGAATTTTCCGGGTAACGGAAAAATATTCTCAGAAGTTCCAGAAATTGCTCATTACATCATACCCTTGAATCTGGAAAAATATCCCCCATTCCCGGAATTTTCCGAATGCACCTGATTTTAATCTTTTAAACCCCAAAATAAATCCCCCTATCCCCTGAATTCTCTGGGTATTGGGAAAATTTTCTCAGAATTTTCCGGAAAATGTACCCCTCAGAAAATCTTTCCCATAGTCGGAATTTTCCAGAAAATTACGACTTTGGGAACTATTTTCCGAAAAAATTATAATTCCGGCTATTGGAGAGTTCCGGGTTTGAAGGATTCCGGCTAACGGAGATATTTCTGTATATCTATTATTTGAATTTTAAATAAAGTGGGCCATCTCATGCTTACAAATTACTTTATACTACAGTATTCACAAAGCCAAATCATTATATTTTTAATAAATAAGACTAAGACTCACTTTAAAAGTTACAATTCAAAATTAACAAAGAGATGCAATCTTGCAGCGCAAAGCCCAATGTAGAGCTGTAAATTATGCAGCTCAGTGTTTCCAAAATGGCGTAATATATATTAATGGTAATTATTAAGGACAGCAATGAGGCAATATCAACATGTGGTGAAATTATTTTAAAGAAAAATGACGAAAACATGAGTGGTGTGAGATGAAGTGGATGTGTAGTGGATATGATGTGGATGTTTAGTGGGAATGAGGTTGGATGTTTAGTAGAGATGATGTGGATGTGATGTATCGCACTAGGTGGATAGTGTTGGCTGTGATATATATTGCACTAGTTGGTAGAAAGATAAAATACTGTACTTAAGTGACCTTCCCCTATTTGCTCATTATTTTGTTTATTTATTTGCTAATTTATTTCAGAAAGGCATCTGCTGCAAGGAGGAGGAAGAAGCTGTAGCTGTGGAGTCCATCTCTCTAGATATAACACATGATCTGGACTCTATTCCTGTTGTGTGTAAAACTGAAGAAGTTCACACAGAGGAACTGCTGGTTGAAGAGGTATACAAGTCTTTTTCTATGACATCTGTACTGTACTGTATTTCTTTGGACCATATCTTTGTCATTCTTTGCAAGCCTTTTCCCATTGTGGTACAAGTATCTCTTGCTATATGAATGAAATAGATTCTTTTAAACTATTCAATTAGTGAATATTCATATAACTAATAACATAACAAATGGGGAAAAATAGGGTTTGGTTTCCCAGTGACAAGAAAACCCCAATATTATACCTAAAAAGTTTAAATCTGCTTAAAAAAATAGCTTTCTAATTGCTGTAATTTAGTACCTATCACATCAGAAAATTAATAAAATATAAATTTGGTACATAGCCTTAAGGGACCATTATTTGTATAAGCGAGAACAGCGTGAATATACATAGTAAGAAAGAGGTGTAAGATTAGAATATTTGTATAATTTAATAATCGTAGAGCAAATTTTCTTACGGCGAGGAGTACCTATATGCTGCAAAGCCAAAATCAAAAGCAGACACACTTTCATCCATTCCTGTACTATCCCAATACTTTATTCCATTGACAGGTTTTCTTTCTCTCTACTCCCTATATTGCTGACTGCACCTGTTGCATTATATCTGCTACTCTTTCATTAAGTTTGTCACTCATTCGCCCAATTTTTTTCCAACATTCAGGGCATTAAATCTGAAGAGGGAATCCCAAACATTGGGTTTGACAAATGGATTTATCAAACTTTGTAAGGAAATCTCGGCATGGGTCACAGGAGACAAGGCTTGGCAGTGTGCTTGTAAACTATTATCTTTATTTTTCCCATTTATGTTACCCGGATAATTATGACATCATACTGTACCCATGTACCGCATTGAAATTTAAAAATCATAATGCAGTCAGGAGTGATTCATTTATAGTTATGATACATAAAAATTTATTTTCCTAAAATCTAAACTTTACAATTTCCGAGATATTTTGCCATAAACCAAGTCCAAAAGCTATCAAGCACATTTGCCTTTTCTTGAATTTTTCCTGTATACAGTAATACAGTATGTTGGCAAATTGAAAATGGCATTTCATCCCACACAAACAAAAGTTTTATACTTATCATACTTGAGGCTACAAGAGGATTATTTGAGGAGTGTAATGCTTGATAAATTTTCAGAAGTGTGATTGGCGAGATGAAACACATAATATTTGAGGTTAGGAAGGAGCCAAACATAATAGAGTAATTGAGGTTAAGAAGGATATTGCTCTGCCTACAATATTAATTTTACATGAAATGGAAATTATTTTAAGAGCTATACACTTCAGTATTGCTGTATTATAATCATCATTCTTGGAAATTGTAAAATTCTTTCATCGGGGTGGGCAGTACAGGTAGATGCATTGATTAACACTTTTGGGGCTCCATAGGGCACGCACCGCCACCACCCAAGGTAGACAGGGGTGTGTTCAGCTGACGACAATCATTGGGCAAATGTTTGCATTTTGTTTTTGTTCCTGAAATTATTTTCCAGCATATATAATTTTTTAAATGTTTATTCCTCCCAAATGATTGCTCTACAATACTACTGTATTATACATATGAAGTTGAATCTAACACCAACATATGAAAATACAAGTGAACATTGCAAAGGAGTGGGTAGTGTTTGCGCTGTAAATCCTTGGGACACACTGATGCTTGCAGGCCCACAGAGCAGTTAGCTCGACACCTCACATCCACCACCATTATAAAGTGTAAATGGGAAGACAATGACATGTATTTTGAGACTTCTACCATGAAAATCAAGCAATAAATAGATTTTTGGTGAGCTTTTGAAGTTGATGACAATATTTTTGCCATCGTAACGCTAACAGGAGTTTTTGGGAGGACAAAATATTTGTCATTGGCCCACCAAACTGTTAGGGCAAAGAGTTATACACTCTGAACTGTACTAAATGGACAGTAAACCCTCTGTAAATATTGTATGATGATACAGTACTACATAACATGCTCCTTCTCCTGTGACGTCATGAAAACTGGCTGTGAAGCTTCGGTTCATATCACTAGATTCACCCCTAAAAGTAGCTTTAACTGTTTACTGTAACATGAAAACTTAAAATTTTAGGCATACAATATAAACAGTAATATCTAAAACATATAAATAGTAATAATGAAAGCAGAAAAGGAACAAAAATGATTCAAAGTCAGTGTATATTACATTGTGTCACAGTCTCAATGCTTGCCTTAACAATGCACCCCATGCCTCGCTTCTTATCACCAGCAATGGTGCTCTGTGCTGTGGACCCTCAGACCTCTCCACACTTTTGCCACATTGTTTCACAGTGGAAGGAGATACCCAAGCAAATAAGCTCCTTAGCATTTGGGTGCCTGGGGATATCAGGGACTGTCACGCCACTGGGACACTGCTTTGGCCCACCTCAGCATTGGCCACACATGGCCGACTCATAATGTTTTGATAGATAGGGTGTCCCTTCCCCATTGTGATGACTGCCTAGCCTTATTGACCGTTCAACACCTCCAGGTGGAGTGTCCCAGTCTTAGAGATCGTTGTAAGCACCTCTCAGAGTGCCGGGGGAGACGGGTTTTACCTTCTCTCTTTGGTGCTAGGGGTGGGGGGGGGCAGGTTCCGTGGGAGGGGACGTTCTCACCTTTGTGGAAGAAGCTTTGAGTTTTATCTATTAGCATTTAAATAGTTTTTATGAAAGTTCTATTCTATTAATTATTTATATTTTTGCCTTGCATTATTTGTTTTTAGCCTTCCTAAGTTTTTAGTTTAATTCGGCAGCATAGGACCGAAGCTGCTGGGTCGCCATGGATGTTATTTCCACAGTCAATCAAACAACCTGGAGATACTTAAAACTTTATACCTCATGATGATTATTGCTTTTATTTTTTTATACTTTCTGTAAGTAGGATTGTGTGTGCATGAAACTGAATAAGAAAAAAAGAAGAAAATTACTTATATTTACCCAAAATATGAGTTGACAAATAACCATAACATAATATATAGCTCACAGGTGAGGAACAGTTGAAAATTTTCCCTTTTGGCCCAGGAATTACTTAGTGCTCATTTTAAGTGTTTCAGAACATAGCTGGTTTTCAGAGTGTTCCAGATACTAGGGCACTGGATAAATGGTCACACAGCTGTTATAACATTCAACATTCATTCACCATTCTTAATGCTTATCATGGGTATACATACTGCATCATGCACAGCACTGTACTTATTTGCAAGGTATTACTGTATAGGTGAAAGTGGAAATGAGTCTTATAGGCCTGATGACCCAATTTGAACATGCCACACTAAGGATTCAGCTTTGTTACTGAAGTAGATAGCATAGCTGTAGCTACACTCTTAATACCTCTCTAATCTTGAACTGCAGCCGAGTTAACTGGGGGCACCCCTCTCATTGGCAGTTATAGACCTTGAAACAGCAACTATTGGGTCAGGAGACTTAAGTGCTAGCTATAGCCATTCTAAAGCAATACCCTGTTGTACAAGTAAAACTTTTAAGGTAATTAGAAAGTTCTCTTTGGGGAAGATGATAATGACTTATGAGCTCACCTCACCTTTTTTATCCCCTTTCTCATAATAATTTGACTCAATTTATCATGAAGTGAACCAAATTAGTTGAATTTTTTTTTATACCAAAATTTGAGATATGATGAGGAACCACTGGCCCAGGTTAGGTAGAATTTGTGAATGGGATAAATTGTCAAAGATTAGATAATTTTTTTTAAAACAAATCATGGTATCAGTCATGATCATAAGGCTAATACAGCCTCTAAAATGAGGTCCCTGCTGGTTGGTTTTCACATATATGGTGTATTGTATCGGCTAGTTTGGAGAGCTGTACTTTCAAACAGAGCATGAACTTTTTCTGTGATTTTTAAGAAACATCATTGTGTGAAAAATGACAATAAGTGCACAGATATGCAGTTGAACAACATGTGCTTAAATAAATAATTCAGATTTTAAAATCCATTTTACCTGTCATGTGTGGAGTCCTCTCTGCACTGAATAAAATCACCTGGAATTAGTTAGATGAAATATCTAAAGTGGCATCCCTGTAGTAAAGAGTTAGTGAAGATGTCTACTCTTACCTTTATGTGCTGAATAAAATTGTCTGGCATTAGCCTAACAAAATACAGAATAAAAAGCAGCATTCCTGTAGTGAATGGATTAAACTTTTTGGGTTACCCAAGTCAATGACCTGTATCCCATCTGTTTAATTTGTTTGTGTCCCATACATTTGAATTTAGGTGCTCAAGACACCATGGAACTCATTAATGTCCAGCCTTAGTTGAGAGAATAATCTGTACCATATTACAGTGTAATTCCTTTTGTCCAAACTCCTCGGGACCATTGGTGGTTCGGATACCTGAAAAGTTCAGAAACCTGGACATGCCTACAAAAAGATGTAATAATTTTGTTAGGTCAAAATTCGGTTGAGTGATAGCTTGACTCACTTTGAAGGGAAAAAACTGAGGATGAGGTGGCCTGTGAGATGGCATGAGTCCATTGTTACATGTACTTGTAATGAAGCTATAGAAGTTGTGGAATAGCCATTACAATACTGTACTCTAATGTGACTTAGAAATAAAGAAAATACTGTATAATATAAAACTATGAGATAAAAAAAATGAAAAGTATTGGTATGTATATGTGGAAAGTGAACATATGTGTGGACTTGTGGAGGCAGAGAACTGTAACTGTGTCGCCAAATCCCCACCCATCTGGACCATGCTCCTTCCCTCCGATGTGACGTCACGACATACACACACACACGTTTTAGAGTCAACTGGGTGACTGGCCGGCTGAACTGTATCACATCACCCAGAGGATAGTTTGAATGTGGAAGGAGCCATTTTTTTTACATAAAATATGTTCTATTGTATTTTATGATATGCTATGTATCAATTTTATTGTTTATCATGGCATAAAATTAGAGCAAACACCTTCCACCAACCAAAAAGCCGAGCACTCTTGAAAACAAAGCGGGTTACAGTGCACTGGTGGCAGACACGTGAATGAATTACTTCAGTTGCATTTGGATTATTGGACTAAATTAGAATATTTACTGAACGGGATAAAAGGGAACAATGTTCGCATACCTGGAAGATTTGGATACTTGGAATTCAGATAAAAGGAATTGCACTGTACCGAATTATCAGTCTGGGGTAGCAAAAAGTGGTGTTTTAAGTTGAGAATACTAATTCAGTGGATTTATATATATTATATATATTTGTTGATTCAGAATTGTTTTTATAGGTTTGTGAAAATAGTCAAAGTACCAAAGAGAGCAGTCAAAGTTGCAAAGAGGGAGAAGACATTTCGTCAGTTGACAGTGAATTACCTCATTCTATCATGGCAGATGACACAGATGGTAAGTCTTCATTACTCTTTCTCTACTTTTAGCAAATACCCAGTACTAAAACAATTGTTTTTATTATGAAATACTGTACTGTACAATTAGTAAGTTACCAATCTTCAAAACCGAACACTTGAACCCTCCACCACATAGCTTTTGTCTTAAGTATTTTATAAATTTCTTCAATGTGTGGAAGGGCAAAAACAGTACTGTATGATGGCCTCCATTATGTTGGGGTTGCTTTCATAGAAAAGGCTGTGACAGTATAAGTAAAATAAGTATACAGTAGTACACAAAGATGGTTTCCATAGCCAAAATTCCTCTTTGATGGCTGTCTACTCTATCATTTGTGGTTTAGGAAGTAATTAAAAAAAAAATTATCATTTGACCACTTATTAGCCATTCAAGCAGTTGGGCTGTCCAGTGTTAATACAGAGGGAAACTGGGGTACAGTACTGTACCTGGAGGAAACCTGTGATTTTTAGTAGTGAGGGGCAAATATATCTGGGCCAAGCAGGATTTGAACCCTTGACATATTGGTGAAAAATGTGTGTTACCCCTGTAACACTAACACCTCTTTACTTATAAGTACTGTCATCAAACTCTTGAATGGCTAGCTACTAACTGCAACCTTAAACATAAAGAGAAAATAGTACAGGAAAAGAGATCTGTTTGAACAGTGCTTTGGCTTGAGTCCTGGCTGCCAATGATGCTACAGTGGTCAGTTCCAAGGGTATATAAGGTATCCCTCACTATACGAATGGGTTAGATTCCTTGAAAACCATCCGATTCATAGAGTGAAAGTTTGAATAGCGAGGGATGCCTGTATTGGCGATTCTTCTAGTATTTATTTTTTCAGTACAGTAATTAACTAATTGGTACTAAAATTACCTTACAGGTATCCCTCATTTAACATTTTTGCACTTATTGTTAATTAGGTTTAGCAATAAATATTTTTTACACCCGTTATCACTTTACGTTTGGTCAAAATTTGGTTTAGTGACAATTAGACTCACTGGGAAGTGGAAAACCAAGGATGAGGTGGCCTGTTAGATTGCATGTTGCTTTTGTTACATTTAAGGAAACTATAAAAGTAATGGAAAAATCATTACAATACTCCAATGTGGCTTAGAAATAAAAAATACAGTATAATTTAAAACTTTGAAATAAGAAGAATGAAGATCATAGGTGTGTATATGTGTGGGTTGAACGTATGCATGGAGGTAGTGGGCTGTAACTGCGTCGCTGACTAGCCAGCTAGCCCTGCTACCTCCCCAGTCCCCACGATGACACACACACACACACACACACACACACACGTGTCTCAGAATTTGCATCATGTCAGTTAGAGAATGGTTTAGTGTGGAAGGAGCAATTTTTTTATGTAAAATATGTGCTATTGTATTTTATATGATATGCTATGTATAAATTTTATTGTTTATCATAGTAATTACTAGTGCTTACCCTTCTCTGGGTGCTCCGACACACATGACATCACTGCTCCAATGTTGACATAACACGTTCCCCAACAACCCAGCGCTGAAACAACTAGGTTTTGAATATTATGCCTGTCTAAAGAAGCCATTTAGCTACCTGGTAAAGTAACATGGCTTTTTGATAAATTTTATAATCATTCACCGATAAAAAAAATTTCTTGGCTTTTTTTGTTATGCTCATTAGTCCTAAAAGAGAATTCTTGACCCTCACTATGACTGTCCTTAAACCATTCATGCAATAGAACCTCCATATAACGGACTTCATGGGGAGGGAAGTCCGGTAGCTCAAGGTTCCGTTAGATGTTAAACTTCCATTTCAATTACTTTGTTCCGTTAGATGTTAAACTTCCATTTCAATTACTTTATAGAGGGGAAAGTCTGTTAGATATGACACCTCCATCTAACAAACTTCAGGTATCCCTTGAGATAGAATCATTTGTGTCATGGATTTAATTTTTTAGGTGTGGATGTTATATAAAGATTATATTATATTGTGTTTCTTTTATTTCTTACCGTAGAGTTCGATTCCTTCACACTGGTTACTTACAGGAGATTATGGTGTATCTACGCAGAAATTTACTCCACCACCCGACATTCCATGATTTACACTTGATAAATGATGATTTAATGAGTTCCATTAATTTTTAACATCCATCTAAGTTATTGGTTATACTTTTTCATAACCAATCAGTCATTACCTCCAGTAATAATAAGATAGGATCACAGATACGGGCAGATAATTGCACTTACGTTTATTTGGCAAGCTTCCATACAATGATTTACAATTTGCATGGATATATGAGTCACTCACATTCACGCTGTAATAAAATTAATCTTCTAAAGAGGGACTTTTCAACTTGGGGACATATGTGATTACTCTACAATGGGTATGACTTAACAGAGCTTTAATTCTTCAAGTGATACATTTACTGCCAGCCTGGATTGCTCTTGTTGCAACCAGGCTTCCACACAAGAACTTCCTTCCACGGGAAATAACAACAAAAAAGTACCCTTGGGTTACCACACATAATCTCGCGTCACTGACAGTCAGTGTAGACGGTTGTCGCGGCAAGGAGAACTGGTAAGCGTGACTTGATTAACCACTTAGGCTCAATTGGCCAGCCTGGATTGCTTTGGTCACAACCAGGCTTCCACACGTGATTTTTCCACTGGGAATACAAACCTAGGTTATCACACTTAATCTCGTGTCGATCACGGTTACTGTAGACTGGTGTCGTGCAGGAGAGCTCTGTAGGCGTGACTTGATTAACCATTTACTGTAGGTATGATAGGCCAGCCTGGATTGCTCTCATCGCAACCAGGCATCCACACGTGATTTTTTCACGGAGATAACAACCTAGGTTAGCACACTTGTCTCGTGTCACTGACAGTCCACAGGACAGGGTAGTGATAGAGGACTCTGTGTGGTGTCCCGTTCCCTTCAGGGGGGAGAGGGTGGGGACGATGTCTTAACTAACCCATGGCCTAGGGGATACTACTAAAAAATGTGGGCTTGGAGCGTGAGGCGATGAACAGTACAACACTGTCTCGGAGGCCTCCCCCTATAGACTGGCTAATATACCACTAATGGAAAAAATATGTCGTTGTCTTGGCTCGCCGGGTGCCTTATCTCTAATAAAATAAACTTTGGAGTTGGTTGCGTGAGTAAGCCTAACGTAACCCATGACAATTTGAGATAAGAAACTTCGCTTATATGAATTTCCTAAATTGACATCACTTTTTGTGTTACAAAGCTTTCACCGCTTATATGAGTTTGGGTCCCAGCAAAAATTCAAATCGCATGCCCCTGGGAGACAGCTGGGGCGGCCACATCCTCCTAGTGCTCTCCCTATCACGCTGAGGGAGGACTTATGGTTATTTTTCTTCTTGTAATTTCGGGTATATGGTACTGTGTAAACATAACTTTCTTTATATACTTTTTTTTTATTCAGTTACATGCTTCCACAATCCTACCTACAGAATGTGCAAAAATAAAATAAAATAAAACAAATGATTATCATAAGGTCAGCAAGAGGTAGCAGAATATGCTGGGGGGAGTTATGTTATTATGATTATTATTCAGTTCTTTATTTCAGATAAACTTAACTTTCTTCACTTTTTTTTTTTACTTAGTTACATGCATACACAGTCCTATATGTATAATGTGCCAAAAAAGTGAGATAACTATCATAAGATAAAAAACATAAAGGCAATAAACATTTCTTTGTGTGTAAGAGCAGGGGAGGGAGTGTTGCGGATCTACAGAGGCGGCCGAGCTGGTTGCTATGGCGACACTTGACGGCAGCCGCTCCTGAAGCAGCCAGCATTTATGCAAATGGCATCACTGGTGGCTGTGTTAAACTTTTATTTAGCTTTTCCTTAATGGTTTTAGCTACATATTTTCATCTAGATAGTATTTTATTAATGTTTTTAATGTGTTAGGTAGTAAATTACAGTATATAGTTGTGTACTATTTATCAATTTATCATTGGTTAGGTTTTTTGTTGTTCGTGAACTGATTTCGTGTTTTTTTTGGGTATGATATAGGGGTTTTCTTGTCATTGGGGAACCGGACCCTATGTTTCCTGTATGTTCTTTTATTCTCTAAAGAAAATTCACTTCATGCATGGTTTATCAGGAACCTAACCCATTCGTATAGTGAGAGATACCTGTATGTTAATACATAATATGGAATTGATATTCTCTTTTCTCTCGCTCTCTTTTTTAGATCAAAACATCTCTGTACTTGCAACATTGGCTGAACTAGCACAAGCTACATCGAGAGGAACAGAGAATACTGTAGGTAAGGCAAAGAAGGTGTATTTTTTTCAGGACATTGAAACTTGTATATGTCTTCATTTAACATTGGTCCGAGCTGCCTCCTTTCATTATTATGTCTCATCTATTAGTGCATATGACTCGCTTTACATCGAGCATATTCCACGCACTTTCCATTACTATGTACTTGACTGGATGTATGCCAATATGGCAGGTGCCTTAAACCTTTAGCAATTTGGGAATGTGAAAACCTCTACTAACCATTGTCTTGTCAGCTTTTATTAAATTTCATATATCACAATCTTGAAAAACATAAGACTTTTGTGACTTTCACCTTTATACATTTCACCAAAACTTCTGACTTAGTCATTCACAACAGAATGATCAACAAAACCATTGATCTAGGGTTTCAGAGAAGTCTCATACCATGGCTAACAGACTTTCTTAGTGACTGATGCCAAGCTGTACACTTCCTAGGGGCTGTCACCACCTTTCAGTTACTTGCCTGCAGTGCCCTCAAAGCATTAGGGTGGGATTGCTCTGCTTTCTCATTCTCATCAAACATGCCCTGTAAGATATTCCTGCATGTTGAAAATATCCCAATGACTCCATGTTTTGCATCAGTTATATAGCTCGGCTCCTGACTACAGAACCCTGAAGAATATATTTAAAAATTTCCAAGTGCCAACCATGTCACCATCAACCATACCAAAACCCCTCTTCCGAACATGTCCCACCTTCCTCCATCACACTAGGCCCCCAACACCTTCCAGGTTGTGGATTCCACCAAACTCCTCAGCAACACTCTTGATAACAAACTTAACTGGAAAGTTCACATCAGTACAACTGTCAAATCTTCCAACTATCGTCTCTACATCCTCCATGATCTTAAGTCCCTTTCTGCATTTTAGCTCGTTAATGCTTACACAACATTCTTCTTCCTAAATTCACCTAAGATTCCCCTGCCTGGTCTTCTTCCTTAACTGCTACATAACAAGGACTCTTACAGAGTGTGTAGAAGATGGCATACAAGACTATTCTCTCCCCATCTTGCCACCACATATTATGAGGCATTTAATATACCAGCAGTCTGTCTCAACTTTCTGTTCATCACTACAGGGACGCCACTTTTGATATATTATTTGGCTAACATCAGACGATTTTATTTAGGAGAGAAGGGACCTCATACACAAAGGGATAGTAGACTGTCTCCACTAACCCCTTCACTATAGGGATGCCACTTTTGATATTTTATTTGGTCAGATGATTTTGTTCAACACAGAAGGGACCCCATACGCAAGTGCTTAACTCAGGATTCTGTAACTCAAAGCAATACAATACCTTGATAGACTGAAAGAAGACTTAGCTTTAAGTATAAAGAAACACTTCATTCAGTATGCAACATCTTGAAAGTGGCACTAAATCTAAAACAGTGAATAGTAGAACATGCTTTAATGAATATTTAAGTGCTTTAAACAAAATCTTGTACTTGTACAGTCATGAACAGAAGCCTTGTCACCTCTCCTACTGCTCCATGAATCCTGTGATTTAGACATGTGGAACCAAAGCATCCATGGACAGAATATTGTATGTGTCTACTGCTTTGGGTTCACGAGTCTGAACCTGGAGCAGCAAGAGAGGCAACAGTACTTTTTTTGTGACTGTACAGTGCATGTTTACAATTTCAGACTCCTTTTATTAATTAATTTTCTCCTTTCAACCAATTTTACAGATATGTCGAGTGCAGCTGCATTAGAGTTATTGAAAGCTCAGGCTGCCCTGCTACCCATTGATGATGCATCAACTTTAGTGACGTCTGCTGTAGCTCACGGACAGACTCTCCATCTTACTGAGGCGGGACGGCAGGCTTTAAAGTTCATAAAGCAAGTGTGTTGATTCATGTGTCATTTTGTATTTTGATGTATGGATGGATGAGGTTATTGAGATGTGTTTTGGATACATACGAGTATGAGGCATATAGTATAACAGTGGTGCATCCCTGGTTTGTTCAATTTCCCCTTTGTAATGTCAGTCCATAGCCTTAGCATTCCTCTTTCAGGTACCGGTAATGATGTCAGGTAATGTGTTAAGCAATCCCTATTAGAAAACAAGGGCAGAAATCACGTAGTACAGCCTGAAAAATGAGCTGATAAAAGATTTTAAGAAATACGTCCTTGCTCTTCTATGTGCCTCACCTACAGGATTGGATAATTTTATAGGTTATTTTTATTTTATTTATTTATTTTTAAATCATACATTTGGATTGAGCAACTATATTAGCAAATGCATACATTTGAATCTGCAGGCTTTAGAACCTACACTTATGTGATTGGTATTTAAATATATAATGAGCTGAAAAATTTGATTTTACGAAATAATAATAATACTAGTTATAATAATTATATTTATTCAGTATAATTCTTATTTAGGTTTACAGTTGTAGTGCAGTATAGGAATGTATTTAAATTATACTGGTAGATAAAATGTAGATAGTGTATACAGTGCACGTAGACCGTGGGAGTTCTGTATTTAGTTTCTTATGTGCCGAGACAGTGCAGGTATACAACAATGGTTCTGTAAGGATACCCATTGACATTGTGGAAATTATTCCACTGAGAATCTGTGATGTGTAAAGAATGTTGCAACTGGCATTTTGCCGAAAAGGAGAGCCCTGTGACTTATTCGTATGCAACGGTGGTGAAATTTTGTAGCAATTCATATCCGGCACAGCATCTCAGAATTTCCCTCTGGTTAATGGATTGCTTATGTCTTATCGAGGGATTATCAGACAATCGGATTTTTTACTTTAGCGACCGTGGTTCTCCCCCAATTAGTCCGTTATCCCAAGGGATTACTACACTTCCTTTCAGAGAGCCCCTGTCACCCTTTAAAATTGCAGTGAATGAATTAAATACACATAATCCCAAATGCACTTTAGATTTGTTTTCCTAAAAATGCATATTTAACAATGTTATGATACAAAAAATTTGCATTTCAATTTTACTTACCATGATGAGCAGTACTGTAGACTATTGAAAGGTGCATAGCCAGACATCACTTGCATTATTTGCTCTTGCTCTAGTAAGGAGTGGAACTGGCGTGCTGTATGATCTTTTCTACTTTTGCTTTGTTTATTTTGATGCTCGTTTTATTAATTTAATACTTTCAAATTACGAAACTTACTTTGGTACTGTCTTCTGAATCAAATCATTCTAAAACCAGTTCCTTTTTATTGTCTCTTGCTTCAATTAACAGAAGAATATTACTAATGTACATGTCAATAGAACATTGGAGCCACAGACTTCCTTCGAACAGAAAACATACACCCTCCTCTTACCATACATATTTTACTGTCTGGTAACACTGTAGGTTGCCATAGAAATGTTTGGCTGCCATATTGAGCCAAAACAAACAACAGGCAATTTTAAATGTGCAAGAACATGTATGGGTGTCACTGCAGTATTGTTCCCTAAATGGTACATAGGTACGCATAATTGTAAGGGACGCCACTGGTAAATTAGGAAAGATTGGCAGAGTTTAGTGAATCAAGAAGTTGTGAGGTGAATGTCAGTTGGGACAGCACTGACTTTTGTAGTGGAGATGCGAAAATAAATATTTTTACGTAATGCCTCCAGAATAGGTTCATCATATCGATTATACTAAACCAGAAATGGATTGAGTTTGGTGAATAGTGCATGACATGATCATTTATCTTAGATTTTTGGTAATTTTTCATCTGGGTTTTTTAGACTGAATTGGGCTAGAGACAGTTCAGTCAAAGAATGTGAGGGGGAAAAGCTCTCATCTCAAAATTTAGTTTTTTTGGTCTTAATTGCAGAATTTATTTACTGTATGTTGGATTTGTTTGTACCTCCCTTCTTTGAGCTCAAAGCTGTACTGTTTGATTCTCTCTTATAGGAGCTGCCTTTGTTACCAAGTAATCCACTGCTACAAGAACCCCCCTCAGGTATTGATCAAGACAAAACCAACAAAAAATCAAGTAATAGCATCACAAATGCTAAAAGAAGAGACAAAACATCATCCTCACACGTGACGGTGCAGTCATCTTCATGCTTGCCGGCTCTTTTACCCTCTTCATCAATAGAAAGTGTGGATGATGATGATGGAGAGGAAGTCCAGCAAGTGACTCAGGTTATAACACTAACTTCAGAGCAATATGCTGCACTTACAGGTGATGAGAAATAGATGATAGTCTTTTTTTATATATCTGTGTAAATGAATTTTGAGTGAAAGGACTTTTGAGGCCAAAGAAATTTGTACATATGCTTTGTTGATTTTTAAAAAGATTTTGATAAGGTAAAGTGCAATAAACTTATAGAGATCTTGGAAAAAAATCGACATTAATGAAGGAGATATAAAAATTTTAAAGAATTTTTACTGGCAACAGGAGGCTGCAGTGTTTGTAAATAATGAACTCACTAATTGGTTCACAGATAGACGGGGGGTAAGACCAGGCTGTGTTCTACTTCCAACATTGTATACAGTAATACAGGGGGTCCCTGACTCACAGCATTTTATTTACAGTACCAGATTTATTTTTTACTTTCATTTACTGTACAGTATTTTGTCATTCTAGTTCTTCTTTCCTCTTAAATTAAGTGATTTTAAATGTATATGAGGTTTTAGGCTATGATATAGTGGGATTTTAAACATTGTTCAGTAAGTACGGTATGCACATAAGGTATGTGGTTCGACTTAAATACATTTTTTACTTGAGAACGTCCTCAGGAACGGAACCCGTTCATAACCCAGCGACCCCTTGTACTCATATATTCAGAATTTGTAATGAGAGAATTTATAAATGATAATAAAGGACTAAAACTCAATGGTAAAGTAATATCAAATATGCGCTATATTGATGATATTGCTTTTATCGCAGATAATGCAGAGGCATTAAAAAATTCATTAACAGATTAGTAGAAAATGGTGACAAATATGGTTTAAGAGTTAATGTTGTAAATATGAAAGTAATGGTTGTTTCCAAATTGGAAATAAATTCTAAAATAGAAATTATAGTCAGCAACAAGAAATTTGAATAAGTGGAAAATATTTTGTATTTAGGAAGTAACATGAGCTGTGATGGTAGATGTATGAAAGAAATCAAACCAAGAATAGGGCAAGCAAAAACAGCATTTAATAATCTAGAAGACCCAATGAGAAGAGACATTAACTTCAGTTTGAGAAAAAAGGCTGCAGAAAGGCTTTATAGCAATGGCAAGGACTATTGTATGGTTCAGATGCATGAACACTTTCAGCAGATACTGCAACAGAAAGCAGTTGTTCAGACTCAAGTTGAGTTATAATATGTTAAAAGGTGTTTTGAAATAATGGCATTAGTGTTAAATTGACAAAAAGTGGTGTCTTAAGGATAGTTTACTTTATTCTGTTCCTCTGGTAATTTGTCTAATGTACAGTTACCAGCAAAAGTCCTCCCACAGCCCTGCTACACAGGGCTGTGGGAGGACTTTTGCTGGTAAGTGTACCTACAGTACTGTAACATATCCTCACTGCCTTAAATGCAATAACATCAAATGACTTTATGTTTCCTATCTTAGAGAAGCATTAAATAATTTTGATACTGTATGTTTCATTAAATAAGTTTTTGAAGGTTTAATAAATATATATTAAACAAAGACAGTTGATTAGTTGACAAAAACATGTCGCCTGCTAGTAGATATTTCAAATTTCTGTATTGTACAGTACCATACATATTAATATTTAATATTTTATTGCCTTCCACGAATTTCAAAGGCACAGATATGAAATACTGTTCAGTAATTTCTCCATTAGCCAGAATAATTGATGCAGAGTGTTTCTGAGTTTGAGAGATTTCCGGGCACTGAGACAAATTCTTTATCCTTGGAAAAAATCGCACATTCACCTTTACAGTTGCAGACAAAATTCCTTGAATACTTGGCAGTATATGACTACTATTTCTCGGTCAAATGTATGATTAATTTTCATTTTACACGTCCGAATCACAAAGAAAAACCTGAAAAATTATGTTATAATTCTAATCCCCTCGCCTACTAATCCTCAGTTACTGATATGCCAAGTACTGCCAAGTGTCCAGGGAATTTTGTCCACATTTGTACATAATATCACAGTGCAGCCTCTTTGATGAACTGACATAAATGTTATAAGTTATTGAGTGATTTATTGCAAAATGACATTCCACTGTAATTATTTGTCCCAGTCTCACATACTGAATATCTACTGCATATTGACTTTGTAAATACAAAATATTTACAATTACCGGTGCACAGAATTGCTTTCACACACTGCTGGTCTGTTAAGTTGTAAAGTTCAGGAAGCACTGATGAAAAATATTACCCAATTTGTTTACTGTTGTTATTATTATTTGTGCAATTTTGACACTTTATTCTTTCCTCATAATAATGCTTCTGCAAAAAATGACTTCAAAATTTAGAAATATTTGAAATTTTTCACGTTTTTAAAACTTTCATGCACATATAGTAGAAAATTCAATTAAGTGCTTTCATCACCATCACATGGAATTCCTCATGCATTCATGGAGATATTTTTTTTCAACACTTCCTTCTAAATTCAAGATTCATCATCTATTCGGGCAAATTTGATACAGCTATCATTGGTTTTTCTGTACACAATAGCTCTACTTAAAGGAACTTAGCTACTATCCTTGATTCTAAAAGTATGCATTGTTTTTCCAGGTGGTACCAATGGCCCAATCATATTGCAAGTATTACCAGCAAGTGCAGATGAAGAACATTTGAATGAGATAAACAAGAACCAGAGTCCACCGGCAACCAAACGGCAAAAGGTCATGCAACTGGTCACAAGAGTGGGTCAAGGAAGCTCAGGTCTAAACCAAGCAGTCGCAAAAGTGTCAGGAGAGGTTTGTACTAGACACAGATATTATTGTGGTGCAAAGGAGGAGTGATTTTTTGGACAACGAAAATTTCAAAATAATTCTCGTTTATATTAATGATTATCCAAGTATCATTTAATTTGAAGAATAAGAATATTCTAGGCAAAAGACCTTTCCACATATTATATTAACTAAAGTGTTCGCTGAAAATATTGATCTCGATTACATAATTAGACATATTTTTACGCTCAAATTACAGCCCGATACTGCTCACCAAATTGAATTACACAACAATTTTTGTTTGTCAACTCATTTGTGCCTTGGGCCGGTATGCATAATATTCCTGCACAGCCAGTGTGTTTAGCTGTATCCTATATTCTAATGACAATAAAACACACCACCAATTTTTTTATCTCAGAATGGTCACCATGTGTTCCTAGAACATTTCAGGTGAGAAAAAGGCTCACTTCCTTACCCTGTTTGGTGAAAATGTGGCCAAGGGACTCATCAGATCTCAACCCAATAGAGAATGTATGGAATCAAATAAAGAACAAGCTGTCAACACTGAATACATCATCAGTACCTTACATGCAGGAAGAGATCACACGGGTCTGGACAGGGGAGATCTGTTATCCTTTTTACCACAGGATGCCACTTTTAATATTTTATTTGGCTAATGCCAGATGATTTTATTCAGTACAGAGAGACCCCTTGTGCCCAGGTGGTTAATATTATTTACAAACACTCACTGATTCCATGCCACAGTGACTTCAAATGTTGTTAAAGTCATAGGGGAACAATGATAAAATATTAAATAATGTACAGTAATATAAATTTTTGCATTTCTTTTCATTGTGTTTAATATTATTCTTAACTTATGAATTAAAAGCCGTGTAAGAATGTTACAGGGATCAATATTTTTTGCAGACACTGTACAAGTCGCCCACAAAAGTTTTGTTGCGTCTTCTCCTGAACTACGAACCCTGAAATTCAGACTAATGATTCCGCATTATTTATAGATTGAATAATGCATCAATGTCCATTACTTTGGGTTCATGAGTCTGAATTTTGAGGTTTGTGGTTCAGGAGGAGAGACAAAAGGACTTTTGTGTGTGAAAGTACATGCTTAACTTTTTGTTTTCTCCACCAGATTTTCCCACATTCATTAACTCTGCATACCCTTGTTTTTGTTTCATAGGATTACAGGTAGGAACTCCATTTAATTTGGGAAGTAACTAATAAAGTAAAATGTGTTAAGAATAACTGATGGTGTATATGAATTACTTTGAGTGAGTGAGAAGGAGTTGAGGGGAAATCTGAAGTAAAGGTCAGAGTGTGTGTGAGGAGTTCACGACAGAGAAATATGAAGAACTGTACAAAGACTACTGTCTGGAGTGCTGACCCACGCTACTCTTGTGAATAGACTCATATTCAGTATTATAGAGGACTATGTTTTGTAAATGATATATCAAAAGTTTCACTAACTTCTTATTTATGAACCTTTGACCAATTATGTGTGCACACTTTGTTTGCCTATAATAATAATTATTATTTAGTAAAGTTGTCATACTGGTATACAATTGGAAACACATGTTTATAAACTATGCAGTTATATATTTCAACATAAATATAGACTATACAGTTTTCTGAGTGCTGAGATGGTGCCGGTACACGAAAATGGTAAACAGTAAGGCAATTTGACCAAGACATGAATTTTGTGCAAATAAAGTTATGCATGGTTAAATATGCAGTAGTACAGTACATTTAAGAATGGTATTTGTATGAGCCATTTTGTTCAGGCATACAACTTTTGAGGTAAATGCTTGTGGTTGTTGTTAATGCTGTTTCTACTTCACAGGTGCTGAGTGTAGACCTGCCAAATGTGAATCATCTATAACAAAAAACATCATTATTAATCCTGTTTGGCACCAAGTCAACAGTTTGTCTACTGTTTACTTTATAAGTATAAGTTAACTGGACAATTCTTTTTCTGCTATGTATAGTAGGATGGCTATATTAATATTCAGACTTATTAAAAATGCCAAATAAGTTCATGACTAAGAAAATTTAGATGTACAGTACAATGTTATATTTCAATTGACTCATTCATTCACAAATAAGTGATTACGATATTGTTCATGTATTGTGACCTGTATTTACACATGCAGTAATGATTTATATTAAAACAAATATATTTATAGAACATGAATGGAAAGTTTTATTTTATGCATGTACTATACCTACCTACCTTTGACAAAATCTTCCCAATTGCTGTGACAAAATCTTCCTGTTTTCTTTGATGAAACCTTCCTGCAAAATTAGCTATGGCAGGCAAACACTCCAATATGTTTAGGTTACATAAATCGACAATCTAAAGTATTTTGGTGGTATGGATTTAAGTTTCACATTGTTAGGTTCTATATGGCAGTGCAATTTGTAAAGTTCCACCTACCAACTGCTGAATGCCTCAGAATGTTTGGTCATTTATTTTCTTTATCCCCAGTATCAGGGGGACCATGATAGGTTGAAGTGGGGGCAGATGTGGTATGACGAATTCCAGAGACAACCATTTTGTGATTTCGAGTATTTTTTAATATGGATATGTATTTTTGTAAGTCCCGAGGAGGAAAAAGCAAGTATATTTTGTGGATTTGAAATGGGGTTTGCTACCCCCAAAGCCCTCCCAGAGACGGTCTCCCTAGGGCGACTGCTCCCGAAAGGGCCCTCCCAGTGGTGGTGGCTCCCCCAGGGGCTTGTCAGGGGTTGCTTGGCCTCCAGATGCCCTCACAGGGCTTGTGGAGTCCCCAGGGGACCTCCCAGAGGCAGTGGCGCCTCTGGAGACTCTCCTAGGGACATTGGCGCCCCCAAGGACTTTTCTAGGGACATTGGTAACCCCAGGAACTCTCCCAGGGGTGGCGATGCCCCCCAAACCCTCCCAGAGATGGCGACACCCCCAGGGGGCCTGGCAGAGGCCCTCCCAGCAGCGGCGGCACCCATAGGGGCCATGTCTGGGGTGGCGGCGCCCCCAGGGGCACAAACAATGATGGTGGAGCCACAGGGGTCATCAAAGAGGCAGCGACGCCTCCAGGATCCCTCCTAGGGGCGGTAATGCCACTAGGAACCCTCCCAGAGGTGGCGGCGACCTCAGGGGTCCTCTCAGGAGCGGCGGCAACGCCAGGGGTTCTCCGAAGGGCGGCAACGCTCCCGGCACCATCCAAGGACCCTCTCAGGGGTGGTGGTTCCGCCAGGCGCCCTTCCAGAGGTGGTGGCGTTCCCAAGATCCCACTCAGGAGCAGCAGTGCCCCCAGGGGCCCTGACTGGGGTGGTGGTGCCACCAGGACCCACTCACAGGCAGTGGCGCCCCCAGGGACCCTTCCAGAGGCGGTGGTGCCTCCAGGGACAATCCCATGGACAGCGGCACCCCCAGGGATCCTTCCAGGGGCGGCGGCGCCCCTAGGGATCTTCCTTGGTACGGCTGCTCCCCTTGGGTCCCTCACAGGGGCGTCGACGCCCGAGGGGCTTTCACAGGGGCGACGGAGCCCCCAGGGGTCCTTCCAAAGATGGTGACGCCCCAGGGACCCTTACAGGGGTGGCGTGGCGCCCAGGGACCCTCCCAGGGGCAGCGGCACCCTCAGGGACCTTCCCAGGGACGGCGGTGCGCCCAGAGGCCGTTTCAGTGACTGCACTGCCCCCAGGGGCACTCCTAAGGGTAGTGGCTCACCCAGGAGCCCTCTCATGGGTGGTAGATCACCCAGGGGCCCTCCTAGGGGTGGTGGCATTCTTAGGGTCCCACTCAAAGGCGGCAGCACCCCCAGGTTCCCTCCCAAGGGTGGTGGCTTTACCAGGGCCCACTCAGGGGCGGTGGTGCCCCCAGGGACCTTCCCAGAGGCAGTGGCATCCTCAGGGACACTCCCAGGGAGTGTAGCACCTCCAGGAGCCTTACCAGGGGCGGCGGCGCCCAGACGGACCTTCGCAGGGACAGTGACTCTCCCCTAGGGACCCTACCAAGGGTCTCCACTAGCCCTATGGCATACTTGTTCGTTGTGTCTTATATATTACATAATTTCAGCAGTCCCTTACTGATCTGTGATTGGTGGTCTATTCTTTAAACCCACTAAATTTCAGCCAATAGGAGAAGAGAGCTGTCAGTCCACACAACACCACAACTTATGTTTTCCTGTTGGATATTACTCTCCGTTACCTTCTTCAGACTGCAATGATACTGGAAATGTGAAGGGCGGTGTATTTATTTAACGTTGCATCTCCTAGAGTTCTAAATAACGCTAAAACTTCTCCACTCAGGGGTCCTACAGGTCTGGCGCTTCCAGGGGCCCTCCTAGATACTGCAGCGTCCCCGGGGACCCTGGGAGCGCTCACAGGGACCTTCCCAGGGGAGACGGTGCCCCCACTACCCTCCCAGGGGTGGTGGCGCCCCCAGGCACCTTTCCAGGGACAGCGGTGCACACAGGGACCCTCCGAAGGGCGGCGGCGCCCCCAGGGGCCCTCTCAGGGACGTTGCCTCCCACAGGGACTCTTCCAGGGGTGGCGACATCCCCAAGGACCCTCTCAGAGGCGGTGGCGCCCTCATGGACACTACCAAGGGCAGCGGTGTTCCCAGGGATTCTCGCAGGGACCCACAAAATTTATAGCGGCGTCCCCAGGGACCTTACCAGAGACGGCGGCGTCACTAGGGATCCTCCCAGAAGCGGCGCCGCCAGGAGACCTCCCACGGCTGGTGGCTTTCCCAAGATCCCACTCAGAAGGGGCAGCACCCCCCAGGGGTCCTCCCAGTGGTGTTGGCGCCACCATGGTCCCACTCAATGGCGGCGTCGCCCCCAGGGACCATCCGAGAGGCAATTGCGGCCCCAAGAACCCTTCCAAGGGCTTCTGAGGCTCCAGGGATCCTCCTAGGGGCGGCAGTAGCTCCAGGGACCTTCCCAGTGACGGCGGTGCCCTCAAGGACCCTCTCAGGGGCCGTGGCGCCACCAGGGACATTCCCAGAGAAGGCAACGCCCCCAGGGACATTCCCAGAGAAGGCGACGCCCCCAGGGACCCTCTCAGGAGTGGTGGCCCTTCAAGGGGCCCTCCCAGAGGTGGTATCATTACAGGGTCCACTCAGGGGCTATAGCGCTCCCAGGGTTCCCTCCAAAGGCGGTGACACCCCTAGGGACCCTCCTAGGGACAGCAGGGCTCCATATATACCTTTCCAGGGATCCTCCCAAGGGCTGAGGCTTCCCTAGGGACCGTCCCAGGGGAGGTGGCAGTTCCAGAGACCCCTTCAAGGGCTGAGACGCCCCAGGGACAGCGGCACCCTCAAGGACCTTCCCAGAAACCCTCCCAGGGTTTGCGGCACCCCCAGGGATCTTTCCAGGAACGGGGCACCTCCAGGGACCATTCCAGGAGAGGCGGCGCCCTCAGGGACCGTCCCAGAAGCGGTGGCGGTGGCAGTTCCAGAGACCGTTTCAAGGGCGGAGACGCTCCAGGGACACTCCCAGGGACAGCAGCACCCTCAGGGACCATCCCAGAAACCCTCCCAAGTTTAGCGGCGGTGGTGCCTCCCAGGAGCAGCCATATTCCCAGGGACCTTTCCAGGGATGGCGGTGCATTCAGGGACCCTCCCAGGAGCGGCGGCGCCCATAGGGACCGTCTCAGGGGTGGCAATGCTCCCAAGGGCACTCCTAGGAGTAGTGGCTCTCCCAGGGGTGGTGGCATTCCCAAGGTCCCATTGAGGGGCCGCAGCGCCCCCAGGTACCCTCCCTGGAGTGATGGCGCCACCAGGGCCAATTCAGAGGCGACGACATCCCCAGGGACCCTCCCAGAGGCAGTGGCGTTCCCAGGGACACTCCTAGGGACAGCGATACCCCCAGTGATCTTCCCTGGCGCGACGGCGCCACTATGGACCCTCCTAAGGGCAGTGGCGCCCCGAAAGACCCTCCAAGGAGCGGCGGCCCCCTGTGGACCTTACGAAGGGTCCCAGGGTGCCCTATGGCATGCTTCTTCGTTGTGTCTTATATATTACATACTTCCAGGAGTCCCTTACTGAACTCTGATTGGTGGTCTATTCTTTTAACCCAGCAAATTACAGCCAATAGGAGAAGAGAGCAGTCAGTCAACACAACACCACAACTTATGTTATCCTGTTGCATATTATTATTCTCCGCTATCTTTTTTAGAATGCGATGATACTGGAAATGTGAAGGGCGGTTTATTTTATTAACGTTCAATCTCCCCGAGTTCTAAATAGCGCAAAAGCTAGTGCACAGAGGAGTCCAACAGGTCTGGCACTCCCAGGGGCTCTCCTAGGGACGGTGGCGCTTCCTGGGAGCCTCCCAGGGCGGCGGCGCCCCCAGGGACCTTCTCAAGGACGGCGGCCCCACAAGGAAACCTCCTAGAGGAACCGGCGCCCCCAGGGGCCCTCTTAGGGGCGGTGCCGCCTCAAGGATCTCTCCCAGGGACGGCAGCGCCCCCAAGGACTCTCTCAGAGACGGTGGTGCCCCCAGGGATACTACCAGTGATAGCATCGCCCCCAGGAACCTTCCCAGGACAGTGGTGTCCCTAGGGACCCTCCCAGGAATGGTGTCACCCCCAGGGCTCTCTCAGGGACAACAACGCCCCCAGGAGCCCTCCCAGGAAAGGTAGCACCACCATGGCTCTCCCAGGGGTAGTGGCGTTCCCAAGGTCCCACTCAGGGGCTGCAGCGCCCCCAAGGGCCCTCCCAGGGGGGTGGTGGTTCCACCATGGTCCTACCTAAAAGAGACGGAGCCCCCATGGATCCTCCCAAATGCGATGGCACCAACAGGGACATTCCCAGGGACATCGGCGCCCCACATGATTTTCCTGGGACCCTCCCAAGGACAACGGCGTCCCCAGGGACAGTTCTAGGGGCGGCGTCGCACCCAGGGACCTTTCCAGGGACGCCGGCGCCCCCAGGGGACCCTTCCCGGGACTGCGCTCCTATGAACCCTACTAAGGGTCCCTAGGAGCCCTCTGTCATGCTTGTTCATTGTGTCTTATATATTACATACTTCCAGCAGTCCCTTACTGAACTGTGATTGGTGGTTTATTCTTTTAACCCACCAAATTGCAGCCAATAGGAGAAGAGAGCTGTCAATCAACACAACACCACAACTTATGTTTTCCTGTTGGATATTATTCTCCGCTACCTTCTTCAGAATGTGATGGTACTGAAAATGTAATGAAATGGGCGGTGTATTTACTAAATAAACGTTGCGCAAAAACTACTGCACCCAGAGGTCCTACAGGTCTGGCATTCCCATAGGGTCTCTTAGGGACTGTGGTGCCCCCGGGAGCCTTCCAGGGCGGCTGAGCCCACAGGGACCTTCCCAGGGGCGATAGCGCCCACATTACCCTCCTATGGGCGTCCACAGGGGCCTTCTCAGGGGTGGCAACGCCCCTAGGGACTCTCTCGGGGGCAGCAGCGCCCGAGGAGCCCTCCCAGGGGTGATGGTGTTCCAAAAGATCCACTCAGGATCTGCAGTGCCCCCAAGGACCCTGCCAGGAAGGATGGCGCCACCATGGACCAACTGAGAGGCAGCAGCACCTCTAAGGATCCTCCCCAACGCGGTCGCACCCCCAGGGACACTCCCAGGGACACCGGCTCCCCCACGGGCCGTCCCAGGGACGGTGGCCGCCCAGGGACACTCATAGGGGTGGTGCCGCTCCAAGGACCCTCTCAGGGTAGTTGGGGCCTGCAAGGACCCTCCCATGAGCGGTGGCGCCCTCAGGAACCTTCCCAGAGACGGCGGCACCCCCGGAGACCTTCCCAGAAACCCATCCTAGGGTCAGCGGCGCCCCCAGGGACCCTCCCGGGGACGGCGGCGCCTCCAGACACTTTTCCAGGAGTGGCGGCTCCCCTAGGGTCCGTCTCGGGGGCGGCGATGCTCTCAGAGGCACTCCTAGGGGTGATGCTATCTTCAGGGGCCCTCCCAGGGGTTGTGGCATTCCCACGGTCCCACTCAGGGGCGGCAGTGACCCCAGGGGCCTTCCATTCCGTGGACGGCGGCGCCCCCCAGGGACCCTCTTAGGGGCAGCATCCCCCAGGGGCCCTATGACATGCCTGATCTTTGTGTCATATATATTACATACTTCCAGTAGTCCCTTACTAAACTGTGATTGGTGGTCTATTCTTATAACCCACGAAATTACAGCCAATAGGAGAAGAGAGCAGTCAGTCAACTCAACACCACAACTTATGTTTTCCTGTTGGATATTATTCTCTGCTACCTTCTTCAGAATGCGATGATACTGAAAATGTAATGAAATGGGCGGGTGGATTTGCTAAACGTTGCATCTCTCTGAGTATAAATAACGCAAAAAACTACTGCATCCAGGGGCCCTACAGGTCTAGCACTCCCAGGGGCTCGTCTAGGGGCGGCTGCGCCCCCAGGAACCTCCAAAGGATGGTGGCGCTTCCAGGCACCCTCCCAAGACCGGTGGAGTCCCCAAGGGCCCTCTTAGTTGCAGCCCCGCCCCCAGGAACCACCCCAAGAGTGGTAGCGATCCCAGGGTCCAACTTAGGGGCGGTGGTGCCCCAGGGACCCTTCCGGGAGGTGGTGGCGCCCCCAGGAACACTCCCAGGGACAGTGCATTCAGGAACCCTCCTAGGGATATTGACCCTCCAAGGACTCTCCGAGGTGCCCCCCCCCGAGGACCCTACCAAAGGTCCCCAGGGACCTGTGGCATGCTTGTTCGTTGTGTTATATATATTACGTACTTCCAGCAGTCCCTTACTGAGCTATGATTGGTGGACTATTCTTTTAACCCACAAATTACAGCCAATGGGAAAAGAGAGCTGTCAATCAACACAGCACCACAACTTATGTTTTCCTGTTGGATATTATTCTCCGTTACAAAGTTATCCAAAGCAACTTCCCCCATACACCACCAAAATATAAGAACTTCACGAATTATACAGTATCGAACCACTGAACACACGTACACACATCAAGCCCAGAGAGTTTGGAGCAAACTTGAAGAGTTGGAGGACCCAATATTCTCCCAGTTAAAAGAAGGGATAAACCACAGGAGCACACAGCTGGTGGCCCAAGAGCCTCCATGCTAACATAAAAGAACTAGACCCACTTTATGCATATTGTATATGTGAACTAATAAAACCACCATTTAACAAACATAAATTATCACACATTACACTAATGAATGTTTATCTACCTTGGCCCCCCCCCTTATCCCTTCCCCCTAGCCTGCTGTGTATTATTTTATTGTTTTATGCACTCTTCTAATGGGTGATAAGGTGTGATGTTATATTTAGGATGATACTAATGATTGTAAGGGTGCGTGTTGGGATTGCTGGGATATCAATGTTCTTTTGCTTTGATGTTGACGCCGGGGGACGTGGAATGGCTGGACAGGCTCACTCTCCTCTCAGCTCTCACTTGAAGCAGACGCTACGTTTTTTTCCTTCCACTGCCTTCTTGCACCGGGAGGTTTTCAGAAGTTCCTATGTATGCAGAAGTTCTGGTTGTTTTTGTGTATACGGTAAGACTGATATTTGCCAGGTTCATAAAGGATTTTGCCCTAAATGTTCTCAGGTAGGAGTGCATGCGTTACTCAGTGTTAATTCATTTTTGTATTCTTTCTTGTAATTGTATTTAACCGGTCCCTACATGTATTTGCCATAAATATTCTTGGGTAGGAGTGTTTGCATCACACAGTGTTATAGTACAAATTTTCCATAACTACAAATCTGGACTAAGTGAAAAACACTAGAAATCTGATCTTTTTATTATTTGTTACACAGTATTTTACCTCACTGGCCATAGATGTTTAGGAAAATTTTATGAACAATTCTACTAATGTAAAGATGCAACACAGCAGACAGGTCAACAACATAGTACCTAATATATAGGAGCATTCTGAGGTAGATACTCCGAGCATCTACCTCAGAATGATGTCGTCACTTTACATACTGTACCATTTGTAGTTACAATATAATCAGAACTTTATCAGTATATTAAGGCACAAATACAAAGGAACACAAGAGAGCCTCATTAAAATGTGCACAGTAAATACAAAACACGACATAATGCTGTATACATATTATCAAGTACAGTGCCCCTGTATTTATAAATTTTCAAAATCAATATTCACTGTAAAAAACTCCCTATGTTAGTCGAGTACTGTATATGAGATTGAGAGTTTAGTATAAAATATATCTACAAATAGAGTAATATTGCACAACCATAAGCAGAGTATGTCTAAATATCTATAAACTTTTTATAAATTGACATTTATATAACTTCTCGGAGACCGTGGAAGAGTTAAGACAAGTATGTGCCAGTTATGGCATTTATCACACCAGTTGTTGAGTGTGAGCGCCTGCAGTCACCTTAAGAGAACCAGTCTCGACAGACTAGATGTATATCTAAGAATACCTAAAAAACTATCAAGTCAAGTAAGACATAATAACTGCCCAGTGCTCAGTAAAGGCATATTAATATGGTCAAGAGGGAAGACTCGAAGGCATAGTCTCACTTTCAGTTACCCATCTTATATAATAGTTTGTAAGAATACATGAAGAATACTGGTTACTATTATATAGTTCCTATCATTATCTTATAAGGAAGATTATGTACAATTATCATCCTACTTTTAGACGGTCAGTTTGTCCACCTCATTCTAAGCTGCATTTCTTTAAAAACGTATATAACACATTAAATACAGGTAATTTTAATTACTGTACTGCTTTAAATAGACTTCAGTTGAAGATATACTGTACACTATGGATACTAATAAAAATTCCATGCTCTAAGATTTTGTTCTAACCACCAATAATCATAATGTGAGGAAATGCTCACTAAGGGTATGCGAGAGTCTGGTGCAAGGACACTGAGAAGTAACGTAAGAGATGCAGAGAGCAAATATATTATCAGATCAAGAGATATTTATAAAGAAATTACATACGGAGTAGCAAGATAAAGTAGCAGTATATAAGGTGGTAAAGTAGGTTATTTAAGCTAGTGAGGAGAGGACGCGTCTGCAGATTATTGTAAACTCCCAAGGTGAGACTGGATACATATTTAGCCGAAGTTCTCGTAGTAACGGATGAAGTATGGGAGACGACGACCCTGGTTGACTTGCCCATAGGACGTGCTGACAGTTTTTGTGAGTGGGTTGGGCAACTGAACACACCAATTTTAGATACCTGTGGAAGTTATTGGAATATTAATATGGCTAAGAAACTGTATTGTTAAAAATTTAAAACCACTGCATATTGATACAGGATTATTAGATTCGGTAAAACATATATTACACCACAAAAATTATTCATTTATTTCATATATGCTATTCAAATGATATGCGTTTATAGCAGTAGATAAATGAAGAAAAGATAATCTTGACAGTAAGAGCAGCGTACAGTGCTAATGTGGCATGAGAAGAAGTTTTCATGGGGTGCAGACGTTAAGAGTGAATGAGTGGTACTCTGAGATAAATGTATAGTATATATCAGGTGCCTAAAAGAGAGCTCAGGTTCTCATTTGTCTAAATTAACTGTTTCAATTCAATTCAATTCAATTCAGG